AGTGATGGCCTGCAGCTGGGGGAGCTCCCAGATAGTGGCAGGTAAAAAGTGGATGTAGTCCACCTGCTGCTTCCTGGAAGGTGTTTTGAGGTGCCCGTCAACTTCAAGATGATGTGTCCTATAAGGCCTCTGAAGAGCACATGTATGTCAATGTCACTCTGAATTGCAGCCTGTTGCAGCCTCAGAATTGCATCTTTGGCAGCCTGTTCTTGCAAGTGGTTTTGGCCTGCCAAGTCTCCTCATTCTTTCCTTGGCTCATGCGACAGGTGAGGAAATATGGATATGGGCAAAGAAGGAATAAGGGATATGGAAGATGCTGAAGACTTAGAGCCTGATTTCCCCATGAGAACTATTGTTGCCACTGATTACACTGTGTAATTGTCATGAATTTATGAATACTGTGAACTTACTCAGCAGCAGATTACCAAATTAAGAAATAATAGGAAGTATGATGCATCCAAATCAGAACAATTTGTCAGGACAGACGATTAAAAAATACCAGGTTTCAATCTTGTATTTTAGTCCTAAACACAGATTTTTTAAGAGCTAAGCAGTGATAACTATGCCATACTGCAGCAACAGCTTTGTCTCTGCGTATCTGACACTAAATACCAGCAGAACTAGGGATTGTGATTTTATGCTCTCTGGGAAGAGCCCACAGCCAGCCAGCCAGCCCCTGAAGACTACATTGGTAGGATTTGTTTTCCAGAACCAATTTCTGGAAACAATAGTCAAGGAAAAAATGTGGCAAATTGTATGTTCTCATCATAATTTTGGAATAAAGGGACTCTGTTTTAACAGGATTTGTGGAGCCTTTTTACGAGAACTAAAGGTCACCATGGCCTCAAGGTAATGAGGTGTTGCTCTTGATGTCTTTTCAGTTGGGATTTCACCATGTGAGTTAATTACCATGTATGTTGAGGATGAAGTAGTGCGCACAAGTACCACCTTGAGCTTGTTACAATCATATTTTATTTTAACTAGGCATCATTCCAATGCTTGGTAGCTTTGATTGCCAAACCTGTTTATTTCTTGCCCAAAGTGGCTAATGACACTGTTTATGAGATGTCTGAAGTGGAACTACTGCAGAATAATAGGTCAGGTGATTGTCCTGATTTTTCCCAACGTACTTTTCTCTGTGCTACGACGTAGACTACAAAGTGGCATGAATTTGGGTTTTTCTTGTATCACCTGGAGCTGCAAAGTGGAGCTTATGTAAGAGACAGAGGCAGACTAATCGAACCAGCAGTACAACAGCTGAGGTACACAGTGCTTGGTGTCGTTTGTGATAAATGCAGCTAATTATTTTGCTTTTAGTGGTGAAATTAATATAATCTGTCTGTAGTGTTGATCTAGACAAATGCAGTTGTAGAACTAATGTTTTGTTCAACTCAAACCTTACCATTAGCAGGCTTCTTTTGTGTATTGTTAAGGAGGAAAATCAGCTTCCCTGGTCTGAGGTATAATGGATTCATACTGCAAGTTTGGGTTGGCCATTGATTCTGCTTAAGCAGGATAATAGACATTTGGGCTGCTAAGAAACCCTTTTCCCCAGTCTGCACACACACAAGTAATATATTAGGTTGCAGAAATGGTAATGTCACTGTTTAACTTAAAAAGTTAGCTGAGTGTTAAGGTTGCTGGCATGCACCTAATGCTATTCTCATTTTAATTTTCTAATCTGGGGTGACACACACATGTATGAGCCCCATAGCAGTAAGAAAAAACGTTCTTGCGTGTTGGCACATTTCTACTTTGGAGGAGGGCTTCAGCATTGCTTCGCAGTAGGCTGGGTGTTGTGCTCTCCTCCACGGCTCCCGGGTTGTCATAGGGATGTGTTTTCAGTTGGTGAGCTGAAGCAGAAGGGGGTTGTGCTTGGAATCAGTGAATCAGATCTTACAAATACTGCAACAGTATAGCATAAAGGTTTGGAGGCTTCATAATTTCACTCAATAAGCATCGTTTTGTTACCAGGCACATTATCTAAGACCTCAGGATGGAATTTCCCTTCTGGAGGTTGACTACCTGTAAAAATATTGCCTCTTCTAGCTCACATCTTCCCATTTTCACAGTACTGATCATATCTTATTTAAACATGCTTTTGTTTGCATGATCGAGATAGTCTTCCGCCTTTTGCTGCTACACATTCCAACTCAGAAGCTGATGGCTACTGCAATTGAAGCTACTCAGCTGTGTAGGGACAAAAGAAGACCTAATTCTAAATGGGTTTAAAGTCAACATCAATTCATCAGGAAGGAAATCTCAAATCCATGAAACCATTGTAGAAGCTGGCCCCGAGTTCTTGGCTGACTTCCGTCCTTCAGTCCCACTGAAATAATTTCTTCAATATTTCCTGAATATTCAGTCAAACTGAAAATAAATCTTAGTGCTAAGAGAAAAAGAAAAAAGTGCCTTACCCTTTTCACAGATCAGTGCTGTTTTATTGGAACAGAAATCTTACTTTAATTTGGTTTGTTATAAAAGAGCAACGGGATTTCAATTTTCCACAGATAAAGCCAGAAGAGATTTTCTTGGATGTTGTGTTATATTATAGTATCCACTTTAATTACAAATGAAATTGAGAAGAAAAGGATTTATAAATGAAACAGTATAGTTTTTATTTACTATAATCTTTTATCTTGAATAACTTAAGCCTTTTTGATGCCTTTGGAAGCATCAGACAATCCATTTACAAAATACATCTTGATTATTGTCTTCGTCAAGTCATCTTTTCAGAGAAAGAATCTTACTTGATTTCAACTTCTCTCCCATGACCACTAAGCTGATTTCATGTTGCTAACAGTATGCTGTGTTATTGCTGTACCATAAAACATAAGTTGTGCTATAATAATCATGTTCAGTTTCCTGGGTTTGTCAGCATTCATGTTTATATTTTGAAGGTAGACATTTGGTAATACAGTAAAGCTCATTGTTGATGCCATCTAAGAACACCTGAAAAATGCAGGTAGTTAATTCAGCTGTCTATGTCCATAAAGTGTTAGAACAACACCACATGTAGGTAATTGGTATCACCATAGCTCTATTGGTATCTAGGGCAAAAAGCCCCAACTTCATACTAACCTCTGGACCAGTCCCTTGAACATGGTAAGAAGCATCTTAAATTATTCTTAACCTCAGGTTTGGCTTCTCTGGGACAGCATTGAACTGAAAATGCTGTGTATTACATCTCAGCTTTGTAGCTTTTTTCCAATCCCCATGGACAAATGAAAAACGAGGGTGCTGAGCACGTTGAGCGTGTGGAGGTTGAGAGCTTTCCCCAAACTGCATGAGAGGTGAGGACCAGAACCCTAGAGCTGCCTGAGACAGAGCTTCTTCTGTCTTTCTGGTTGCAAATGCACAAATAAGTTTTATTTTAAAACAAGCTTCTTTTCAAAACAAACACAACTGGAATGGTTCTCTGTGGCCCTTTGCTGAGTTTGTAAAAGTTGTATTTCTGGTTGTTTGAATGTTATAGGAAAATGGCCAAAATTCCTTTACATATTTTCTGGCAGTATCTTTATATAGCTTAGGAACTGTTTGTGTTTTCCTGTCAGTGCAGAAACCATTAAATACTGGTTTTGGAATAATGCAGCTTACCTTTTTTATAAAGTAGATACAGGTTTCACAGAGTAGGATTAGGAGTGTTGGAGGGTAGACATAGTAACTGAAGGTCATATTTGATCTCTCCCTGTTTTCTGAAAACAGATGTGTTCTGGGCCAAACCATCCAACTGTGTGGATGCACTGGTTTCTCTTGGTGCTTTATTTTGCAGAGGTTTTTATTCCTTGAAAAAGTACATTTTCCTTGTGTGATACAACTAGACTGCTCTGGGACTCTGACATGAATAGGCTTGAAATGAACATTTAAAATATAATTTAATTGAACGAATGACTGTAACTATATGTATTATGGAAAAAAGATGGAATCGGTACCCTGAAGTCAGTACCTTTCAGTACAACAGAAGGTCAGAATTCAGCAGGTACTTCAGCATGTGTTTGGCCGCAGGAATAGCGGTACCATCATTAACTGACAAATTTGTAGGGCTTGACCAGGGCCTTGTATGTCTGTGAGAGAATTTTCGCCTGAGATTGGGCACAGAATGTAAGCAGCTTAGAGAAATGTATCACACATTTTTTTTTCTCATTCCACACAATAATAACTTCATTGGTTTCAGTAACTGTAACTTTGCATAAGGCTGTGGAATCGTGATTTCCTCTTTTCCTGTGTTTCCTCTAATTGCTCATATTTAACCAAAAATTGGATACTTGCAAAATAGTGATTCAGTGTAGGGAGGAAGTGCCATAGAGATAGTGCTGACATATGTAGAAAAATGTTTTGAAATCTGTAAGTTTTCTAAAGTATTTGATTAAAACCCAGCATTTTCTCTGGGTGAATGGAAAGAGACTTTTCCACACCTTTCTCAGTGACCTAAGCAGTGATTGGAAGTGAGAAAACTGTTCTTTACTATGGATTTCCCCCTCCTTTCTCTCTGGTCTTGTTTTCTAGCCAGTTGAAAAAAGGTTTTATCAGTGCATGGTACCAATTGGAAACTTCTGAAGCTTTTTATGTCTTGCAAATGTCCTCCCACATTTCTTTCTTCCCCCGCGAGCATACAGGAGAAAGGGGAAAAAGTGAACAACACGCTTAAATAGACGATGATTAAACAACCATGTTCCTGAATAAAAGCATCATTTCTTTCACAGCAAATGACTTTAGTATCATTCTCTGAAATATTATTAAAAGTATAAAATAATGTGCTCCTCATTTAAGCTAGAAGAAGCTCACCACCAGACTGGTTAACAGATCAAGGCAGTCAGCTGACGAGCCACATATGGTAGAAACTGCTGCATATGAATTGTTAATGATCTTCACTGAGGAAAATAACCTTCTTCCTGTTGGTGTGGAGCCCAACTGGAGTGTGGAAAAATCCATTAAATGTATGAAGATTACAGTGAGTCAGACTTTATATCCAATTTCAATAGGCTGTTGTGTGAAACTGATTTAGAAATACTTTATGTTTTTTATTAAATTCCCTGGCATCATCTGACCTTGATATACCACTGGCTGAAAGGCCATACCAACGGCGAGATGTTCATCTGCTTGAGGCAAACCTCCAAATTGTATTGTCTCAAGATGGGTGTTTGAACTTCATCATTCCACTTACTGGTGCCAGTGCTGAGCAGAGGATGGGTATTCAGTCCCTCTCAGTCAAACGCTGTTCCACCTGAATGCATAAACCAGAAGTGTTTGGGCATACATGTCTCCATTTAGGGTAGGTCATGGGAGAGCAGCCTCGAAGTTCTGTGTTGTAGGCAAGCAGATCATGGTGGTTTGACAGCATCACTGATGTTTAAATGAGATTTTTTTTTTTGAGAGAGAGAGAATAAGAACTGTTTGTACAATTTATGCTTGGAGCATCCCTCCTCCTCTGTTGGTAACATCTGTGGCTTTGCAGGGGGACATGGATGTGGCCAGCAAACCCTGTGAGTCCCTACAGAGCTCCCAGGAACAGGGTGGTGGATGCTGTGGCCTGGGGAAGTTGTGCTGCTACAAGCCCCTACCTGGCTATTTGCCCCGGTCCCCTGCTGTGGGGCATAGAAGTAAAGGGGGAATGTTAACGGTGAGGGCTCTTGTTTTCGTTTTCCTCTGGCTTTGGATGTGACCACCTGTGCCGTCTTCTATACTGGTGGGAAACTGGATGAGGAGAAACTTCCCTGTGCTCTGAGAAAAATGAATATGCCATGGAGTTACTACTGCTGACTTCCTTTCTGCTGGCTTTGGATATATTCTGCTATTATTATGGTTATGATTATTATTATTCTTGCTATTAATGTTGTCGTTGTGTTGCAAAGGAATTGTAGTATGTTTGGTTGTAAGCCTAAAAGCAAGGCCTGGTTTAACTTAATAGAATGTGGTATACAAGAGCAACCTGCTTTGTCGTTGTCAGTGCCACTGACTTTACTGCACTTGAATAGGCAGGGTAAATTCAAGAGTTTCCTTTAGCAGCCTGGGCAGCTGGGAGTGCAGGACCCCAGGCAGGCCAGCAGGATGATGGGCAGAAATGCCTGACCCAGATCCTCTTCGTTTCGTCTCGGCACATCACTAATCCATTGCACTTACCAAGGTACTTCAAGTACTGTAGATCTTTTCAGTGAAATTAACTGATAATGGCACAGGTATTTCAGAGGGAGTTTAATTCATCACCTTTGATGAATATCTCAATTAAACCCACCATTTTATAATGTTTGGTTGAGTTTATAGCAAAACTTTTTTTGAGCAAGAGAGGAAAGACTGGCGTAAAGGGGCCGTAAGTGCCAGTTTTCATTCTAACTCATCATCATGAGATAACTAGAGATTTGTGGATACTCTTTGAAGGGATAAATAACAGTGCAAGCATACCAATTTAAGAAACCAGGTAAAAGTGGAATGCATGAAAATGGAATACATTATTTATAGAGCAGTGTTAATCAGCCCTGTTTAGGGCTCTGTTTTGCAGTCCTTCTTACATAACACCACTGAGTAAATTCAGCTCTGCAGAATCTGGCCTTCAGTAAATATTTTTAAATCTATTTATAGTTTGTTAAAATGACAGCATAAAATTGTTACAACAGAAATGCTTGCTTTCTGCAGCTTCAAGTATCAGCTACTTTGGTCACCAAAGGAAGGATATTGACATGTTGGAGAGGGTCCAGAGGGGGGCCACAGAAATGGTCAGAGGGATGGAACACTGTCCTATGAGAAAAGCTGTAGAGAGTTGGGGTTGTTCAGCCTGGAGAAAAGAAGACTGGGGAGACCTTATTGTGTCCTTTCAGTACTTAAAAAGGGCCTATAAGAAAGATGGGTAAGACATTTTAGCAGGACCTGTTGCAATAGGATGAGGGGTGATGGTTTTAAACAGAAAGAGAGGAGATTCAGGCTGGAAGTGAGGAAGGAATTTTTTACAATGAGGGTGGTGAAGCACTGGCACAGGTTTCCCAGAGAGGCGGTGGATGCTTCATCCATGGAGACATTCAAGGCCAGGCTGGATGCGGTTCTGGGCAGCGTGATCTAGTTGAAGATGTCCCTGCTCATTGCAGGAGTGTTGGAGTAGATGAGCTTTGAAGGTCGCTTCTAACCCAAACTATTCTGTGATTCTATGATTTTACTCAGCTAGGATTCCAAAGTTAATATGGGGTTAGCAGTGGTGCTTACAGTGCTATATAAACCAGGGAGATTGCAGCTTTGGTGCTGTGATGGGAGGCTTCAGCCCTGGCAGCCAAATTAAATGATAGTTTTATTTTTATCCCTGAGGAGCAATAAATACATCCCTACAACATCATTTTGAAGTTAACTTTCAGAGATCTGCACTCCCGTTAAAGCATACGGTTATTTGGACGTAATTGTTTTCCCTGCATGGCTTGTTTTAGAAGGCCTAAGGGCTATTTATGATAAACCTGCCAAATTTTGTATCCTACATTTTACAGAGCACTCTTGGCCAGGGTGTAATTTTACGTCCTGCCTGTGGGTGTTAGATAGTTGTGCAGCCTCAGGTGAAAAACTGTGGAGGAATCGTGACTCAGAGCTGATGAGTAGGATTCACCTACCTTCGCTCAGATGTCCAGCTCTGATACCTCTGTTGAACCAGTCATTCTGGCTCTATTTATAGTCCCAGGAGGGAAGCAGGAGCCTGCCAAGGGTGACTCACCTCTGCCTCAGTGAGCACTGTAGTGTAGGAGGTGGCAGTGGCAGGGACCTGGCTCCTCCGCAGCCAGCCCTGCTGCAGCAGGGTTACAGCCCTGGTGTGGATGGCCAGCACTAGCCAAGGCAGGTGTGTTTCTGACCTCACAGACATACCAAGACTCACATTGCATAGAATCACAGATGGTTTGGGTTGGAAGGGGCCTTAAAGATTATCCAGCTCCAGCCCCCCTGTAATGGGAGGGACACTTTCCACTAGACCAGGCTGCTCCAAGCCCCATCCAACCTGGCCTTAAACATTGCCGGGGTGGGGCAGCCACAGCTTCTGTGGCCACCCTGTGCCAGGGCCTCATCACCCTCACAGTGAAGAATTTCTTCATAATGTCTAATCTAAATTTACCCTCTGTCAGTTTAAAGCCATTACCCCTTGACTGCATTTGCCCTTGTAAAAAGTGCTTCTCCAGATTTCTTGTATCCCCCCTTTAGGTATTGGAAGACTCTTATAAGATCTCCCCAGCACCTTATCGCCTCCAGGCTAAACAACCCCTCGGCCTTGTCTTCATAGGAGGGGTGCTTCAGTCCCCCAGTCATGTTCATGGCCTCCTTTAGACTCTCTGGAGCAGGTCCATGTCTCTCTTGTGTCAGGGCTGCAGAGCTGGATGCAGGACTGCAGGTGGGGTCTCATGTGAGTAGAGTAGAGGGGAAGAATCACCTCCCTCCACCTGCTGCCCACACTCATTACATTTGCATAAAGGGCTGCAGAAGAAACTGGCAGTGTCACATTGACACAGATCACCCTTAGGGCTGGAGTCTGGCTTCCCTCATTTCCTCTGCCCACTTGTTTGCAGCATACGCTGGAGCCTGCCTTGATCTTTAATCCCCATTTCCTGTGGCTGTAGCTTGGATTTGAGAAGGTTAGAGAGGGAAATACATGCATGTTGTGGGTTGGATTATGTGCCCCTTTAAAACTGTATTAAAGCCATAAAAATGTAACTCTTGAATGATACTACTGCCTTCAGAAGAGGGACCGTGTATTTTATCCTTGATGCCTTCACATGTTACACAGTATGTGAGGTAAAACTAGCTAGTGGAAACATTGGGTGTTAGAAATTGTAATTCCTTTTCATTTTTGTTATGTGGCAATACAGGTATGTGCAGATCTGCTTCCAGCTGTTTAACGCCGTAAGAGCTTGAGTTGAGTTGTTCTGCCAAGTTGGAAATTGTTTATACTGTTACCTTTATATCGATCATCAAAACTTTAACATCTCTTCATGATACTTTAAAATGTTTTTGTTTCTAATTCTATATTCCGATATGGTTGCAGTTTATCGCACACTTTATTATTCACGTAATGCTGAAACCAAGGGATTTTTGAGCAGTCAGATGTAAATTTATGGTTAGTTCAGATTGATTTCAGATCTGCTGCTCATAACTAGTTTTTTATTCATTCTTTTTAGATACAGTATTGAAATTTTTATAACAACATGTATTTCAGAGAGTTTCTGCTGTCTCCAAGGCTTTAGTAGAACTTCACAAGTTGTAACACTAAATCCTTAGTTTTGCAAAGAATGTTTGCTGCCAAGGAATTACTCCAGTGGGGCTGTGCAAGTGCTTTGCTTTGTTTTGTTTTTTCCCTACTTGGGGATTAATCTTTGTAATGCATTAGAAGTATCCCAAAGAAGTTGTTCCATAATGTTTATAATGTCATTTCTTCAAGATAGTTATTTTTTGTAATTATCATTTGAACCATTAACACTGAGCTTGAGAGACTGTGTAGAAGTGCCGCAACTGATAATTGCACAATAACTTGCACATTAAATATGTTAATTAAAAGTCGGAACGTTGTTGTGCTCCAACTTGGTCCCATTAAGGACACTCTTGATGCTGATACCACCCGAAGTCTGAGCAGCCCTACTGATAGTTTCAGCCCTGAAATGGGGAGATCTCAAGCGGCGTGTTCTGCATTGCTCCGTGGCAGGCCTGTCGGATTAAGGCCAGTTGTAGGAAGCCAACTTGCTACTGAAGTAGCATTTTGTATAGATAATGCTAATTAATGAAGGCACGTGGTTCTCTCATGGTGTGAATGCAATTTCTTCATTTACAGACGAGCGTGTTCCATTGTTACTGAGGAAAGCTTTTGCTTTTGGTGTAGGAAGGAGGGAAGGAAATCCTGCCTCTGGATGCGAGTAAAACTCAGAGCAGCCATGGCATCGAGGCCTGGAGCAGCACAACAAAAGTTTTACAGGAATATTTTTCACTACGCACTTTTCTGTGCAAAGGCAAATGCTGTGTTGCAGCACTGGCGTAGTTCCCTTTGTTGTGTGTCTTGGGCTTAAGAGGAGAGAGGACTTTGAGTTGGGATTTGCTCTTCAGGATATTTCCTTGCCTTCTTCTAGGCATTTGTGCTTCAGTATCCCACTGTTTCCCTCCAGGCTCTTCACTGTCACCTTGCTCTGGGGGTTACTGACCCTGAGCCAGGGTGCTTTCGAATTAAAGGCACCTCATTGCAGCTGGGCTTTGTTGCACTCACCTGTTTCAGAGGCTCCTGCTGGTGAAATGCCACCGAAATCTCACTGGTGCTGCTGGAGCTGGTGCGGGAGCAGAGCGCTGCCCAGGGATGCTGTGCTCTGGCCTTTTCCCATGCTTGGATTTCTTCTGGGCAGCCCCAGATCAGGTGGGCTGTTGGGGTCTTGGTTTAGTCCCAGCTGCTCCAAGTCAGGGTTGGCCTCTTTGCAGGGTGTAACTCTTGGTACACTGAGCATATTCAGTTAACAGCTGTGCTTCATTATAAAGTTGACCTATTCCTTAACTCACCAAAGGAGATATGAGATACCATATTGTTAGCTGTTACAGTGACAACTTAAAATACAGGAAATACAGCACTGCGTATTATAGTGTTTGTGTGTGATCTTTGTATCTTATTTTAATAGTTATTGCTGTTGGAAATAGACACCTATTTGAATGATTCATTTTTATTTTTTTTTTCAGGTGATGAGAAGCGATGTGTTGAATGCCTTTTTGTTAAAATGTAATTACTGGTGTTTGAGAGGAAGCCTGAAAAGAGTCAGCCATGTTGGAGCCATGGCTAAGTAATACCTTAAAACATACTTTACATGTGTAATGTTCTGGTACTGACAATGTCAGCTCAAGTCAAAGATGCACTAATTAACCACTGCAGTATCTGAGAGAGCTAAGTTTATGCTTAATGTCTTCATGTTCAATTGAATTGTTCTGGTTTCAGGCTTCACCAGTAATCACATCTGGGATCATTAAATGGGAGCTATGGGTGACCTTGGTGAAGTCCACAGAGTGGCTGTGGGATGTTTTTGCATTTTTGTGTGGGCTTCTTTTGCTCTCTAATTATTCTTTGCAAGTTAAATTAAAAGAGATGTGTAATTAAATTGTTCTGTTTTCGAGCTTTTATCATCTGGAGTTGGTGGGCAGTAGTGATGTATCTCCTTTGGTGACTGGTATGCAAAACCAGGGTAACTAAGGGGGCTGTGAGAAGTCATTTTCTGCCATGGAAAAAGAGAATGATTTCTCTATTGTGTGCAGAAGCAATCTGGATCTAAGTTGGTGTGTGGATTTTGTTTTTCTAGTTTTAGGGACTAAAACCCCTTCCCTCCAAGTCTTACTGCTCGTCAGGATTTCAGGGCAGCTTCTGCAACTGAACATGTTTATTTATTCACTGGAGAAATTAAGTGGAGTGAGTGCTCGTTATTTTCCCCTGTGCCAGTTCAGCCTGGTGAGATTAAGCAGGGAGGATCGGCTGGGCAGAGATTTCCATCAGCGGGGCTCTGGATTGCTGGTTATTAGATGACCCACATACATATCGGGCTCCTGTTGTGACATGTGATTTTTCAGCTCTTCGATGGAAACCAATGGTGTACAAAGCCCCCTTTGAGATGTGGATAGATGAAAGGAGATGAAACAGCTGGTTTGGTTTTATCCCATTCAGGTCAGATTTTTTTGTAGTCAATGTGCAGCATTAATAATAATAAAACCAGCTGTTGTATACCAGAAAACTTGCCATGAAAGGGATGTAATTACTGAGGGGGCTGGTACTGTCATTTAACGTATCCTCACTTCAAAGCAGAGATCTTAGTTTTAAGATCAGGAATGATGAATGGCTATGGCATTACTATTAAAGTATTTGCATTGATTATTTTTGTGTTTGAAAGGAGGAGGCAGAGATCATTCTTGATCCTGGAGTGTCATACAGGCGTACTTCAATGCATACATAAAAACCCCTGATGTCATGGAGATAAATGGTTGTTAATTAACTTTTAGCTCTTGAGGATTTAGTAGGAAAAGGAGAAGTCAAGAATCAGCAAAACTAGGAAGGTGTGAAGTCCCTCTTGGAGAGAAAAAGACAGATCTGGGGGGTAAGAGGAGGAGGGATCGGCTATGGAATAAAATTACAACCCCAAGCCAGCACAATGGCCAAAGCAGTTTTTTCTGACAGCTCTTTAGCTAGTCCCTTTCTGCAGCTAGTAGCAAAAATACGAAGGGTTGCTGCCACCGCTTGTGCCACTGATAATTTCTTTTAATGGAAAGCATAGTAAATTTGGCAGTGAAGGACAGCTGCTGATAATGCACAGAGGAACCTGGATTGATGTGCAGCAGTTGGTGAAGACTGATGCAAATCAAGCTTTGATGGTAGAGACTTTTTAAAGCAATATTAGGTATATTTAGTGGAATCCTGGCCTGAGTTGTGTCAGTGCAAGCTTATCAAATGTACTCTTTTTCTTTTGAGTTATGAATAGATGTCATTTTGCAGTAGGTTATTAAGGTTAAGTCCGTCAATTGAAGCCAGGGAATTTTATGCTGAGAGTCACAAAAATCATTATATCACTGACTCTGTGTATAAGCTTTATAACCATCTGATTCCTTCAAGGTATGTCAAACTTACAGTCCTCTGACTTCAGTGGATTTGTGTTACAACTTACGCATTCTTATTTGGGAATTCAGTAAGTATCTAAGATTTCAGGAAGAAACAACAGGCATTGCTCACAAATGAATGCTGAGATCACCTGTGTCATTTTGTAAGCTAGTTACCTACATGTATACATCCTGCAGGTAAAATTCAGTTTCCACAAATGCTGTCCAGCCATGGAAAATAAAGGAAAAAGAAACAGCTTCAAAAGTACCAGTTAAGGA